GGCCACCCCTGGATTCTTGCAGTGGGGCTGTCCCTATCCTCCCAGCTCCCCACTCACCAGTATGGCCCAGGACACCAATGCCTCTGGGCCTCAGTTCCTTATCTGTCCATGAGTGCTGATATATATGTTTCAGGGTTGTGGTTGGCAGCACACCTGCAAGTAGAAGACACTCGGTGAAGAGAGGCTTGAGATAAACCCAGTCACCTAGGAGTCTTTTGGATCCCAATGACCATCACCTTATTGACCAGGTTAGGAGGTGACCCTAAGGAGCCCCTCCGCTTTTGACTTCAAGGTGGCAGCCAGAGGTCCAGGAGCTGATCAACCAACTGGAAGGAGTGTCAGCCAGTCAAACCTCTCTTTCAAAGACCAAGGCCAAGGTCACAGAGCCTAAGGAATTCAACCTGACTGCCCCTAGGCCCCGTGCCATTCCAGTGCCTGAGCCAGTTCCCGTTGTAGCCAAGCCAAGACCAGTGAGTGTGGGCATTTGCAATGGACACAGGCTTGCTGCCATTAGGATATCCAAGCTTGGGAGAGTGGACTGTGTGGGTTGGTGGAGGGCTGGGGTCCTCCCAGTGCTGAGGGTGGACTGGACCAGATCAGGGACATTCTGTGATCCCACCCATCCCCACCCCCACCCCCCAGAGAGAGCAAAGCCCAGCTGACTCGGGCCTACCAAGTGGGTCTCTGCACTTCTCATACTATGGTGTCACCAGTGAGCATTGAGCAGAGCTGTCAGGTCATGGAACTTAGACCTGTTTGGAGTTGGAGCTCTTTTAAACCTGGTGCAACATAACGTTCCCTCTCCATTAACTATTACATGTGTCGATCACAGGATACTCTTCAAGCCATGGGCAGGTGATAATGTCTGTGTGAGCCCCAGTCGTGCCTGTCCCCATCTCAGGGTCTCTGCACATCTGTCCCATCTGCCTAGAGCCTTTTTTCCTCACTCTCTCAACCTTGTTGACTTATATCAGTCAGGATGCTTTGTATTGCAAGTAACAGAAAAATGCAGCTCAAACTGGCTTGGACAATAGAGCTGTGGCTGATTCTCACGGCTGAAGTGGGATAGGCTTCAGGCATAATGTGATCAGGGTTCCATCTCTGCTTCTCTGTGACCCTAGTCTTGTCTGTGGATCACCTTCATCTTTGGGCTAACTTCCTTTATTGTAGCAAAATATCCAGGCCTCACCCATGCTTTTGGGTGAACACCTGGGGCCAAGAACACCTGGGGCCAAGAATTATTTGGAACAGTCTAACTGGACCATCTTAGATCTCATGTCTGCCTTGAACTAATCACTGTGATCAGGAATACAGTGTCTTAACTGGTCATATGCTCTACCTCAAGTACCAGTGAACTCAGCTTCTCATAACCAATCTGGTTCCCCAACAGGATGAACGATATGGGAGAGTAAGGGGATGGTGCTGGGAGGTCCCAGGGTCCCACCTCACTTTCACCGTCCTTCAGTCTCATTAAAATCTCTATTCCCGGCCGGGCTCAGAGGCTCAGCCTCTCATCCCAGCACTTTGGGAGGCCAAGGCTAGTGGATTGCCCGAGCCCGCAGGCTCGAGACCCACCAGGGCAACTTGGCAAGACCTCGTTGCTACAATAAACCAAAAATTAGCCAGACGTGATAGCACGTGCCTGTGGTTCTGGCTATTTAGAAGACTGAGGCAGAAGGATTACTGGAGCCCAGCAGATCGAGGCTGTGGTGGCCGGGAGCGTGCCACTGCACTCCAGTCTGGGTAACAGAGTGAGACTCTGACTCAAAAAAAAAAAAAAAAAGTCTCTATTCCCTTCAGTAACATAGGAAAGGAAAAAGCCAAAAACAAAATAAAGCCTCCAAGAGGCTTTTCATGAATCCCTCAACTATATCAGGTCCTCACTCAGTTTTCTTCTCACTGACCCCCAACTCCTTTTCCTTGTAGCATTGATTAGAGTTTACAGTTGTTTAGTAATTTTTGGGCCTGCTTGTTGTCTGCCTCCTCTACTGGCATAGTCCTGGCTCAGAGCAGACCCTCAGTAAATACTTGTTGGATGGATAGATGGATGGATGGATGGATAGATGGATGGATGGATGGATGGA